AATTGAGTTTGTGTGTGTTTCTGTGTGTGTGTGATTGGGGTCTATGAAGTGTTGTTTGAGTGTATGTATGTTTGTACTACTACGATAATAGAACCACAGCTTGGTTAATATTGGCAACAACATCCATATACAAAGATATTTTACACATTGGTGGTTGAGAAATGATAAATTATATTTAATAGCTGGGAGGTCAGATATATGTAAAGTAGTATATAGTCTGGCAGTTTTTGATATACGATTCTCAGAACTGCCGCCAGGTAACGAAATTATCAAAAGTGTTAACAACAATTAAACAATAGCAAAACACATTAAGAAAAACAACAAGAAGGTTTCATTGGCCAACAGCAGAACGGCCTGAAGTAGTGTTGTTGAACGGCATGTGTATAACGGTATTTAAGGTTATAGTATTGTGTAACAAGGCATATATATGTATAAATATTTATATATATATATAGGTATTGTTGGGGTATAAATTAATAGAGGATTTGTCATATATAGTATGTATGGTATGTAGGGTTATCATATAAATGGGTGAGCATTAATTATTTGGAAGCCAGGGTGTTGTATTATCACAGAGTATATATTTGTGGGTGTGGTTAGCTATTCAAATCGATGTTTGTATATATAATACTTGTTCAGTCAGTAAAAAATCTGTCGAGTTATTTATACATTGTACGGCTCTCAAGCTCTAGATCCTTAAAATCGTATTCGATAATTATGCTACTATCTTATGGCAAAGTTAATAGTATTCTTGATAATATTGTAATATAGTTTGGTATATTAGTTTTAGGTTTTGTTTTTGTTTATGGGAGGTTTTTGGTTTTAGCTTGTGTATTTGGCCTACCGAATGAGCATAGCGAATTTCAGCTAATTCACAACAACATTGGTAACGGAGTATGGCACGAACGCTCTTTCTGCAAGATGTTTGTTTATATAAAATTAAATATATATCTTTATGTTATGTATACAAGTATATTAGAGACAAATCAATAAATTTAATTCATTTTTTTTTTTTAGTTTAATGTTTGTTTATATTAAATTTAAGTTGTTGAATTTATGAACTTTACTTAGCAAATCAAGTAATTAAACACAAATTTACGTCTTGAGTACAATAAAATTAATGAAAATGAAACGAAAATCGTAAATTATTAAAAAAAAACACGCACGATATGTAAGCACTATGAAAATTAGCATAATTGTTGCAATAATAACACAAGATTAATACGAACATGGTAAACAGCTCTCTACTTACCGCAGGAGGCGCGTTATGTAGTCGGGCCAGTTTTCGGGGAACATGACGAGGAAAAAGCCAATGGCTATGAGGATAACTCCGGCGAGTTTCATGCCCGCAAATGTTGCACTGTACAGTATGACGTCGAGTGCTTGCATATGAAAAGAAGTATATGTCTATTACACTGCACTCAATATTAAACAAATATGTATAAGTTTAACTAATCTCTGATAGCGTAGATCCTATGGCTCTACTCTAGGTGCCCGTCGCTTCAATGTAACCCATATTAGCTTAAAATTTAATGATATTGTCAAAGTGCTGTCCATAATACATCTAATTGTAAATGCTTCTGCTCTGCACCCCACTCCCAAATTCCCAATTTATGCATTAGACTTTAGTACTATTAATAAAGCTACTCGTAAGCTACAAAAATAATAATCATATTCATATTCATATATGCCCCAAATATTATATGTTATATGTTCTTTGCTTGTACAGATTGCAATTTAAAATAATATATGGTCACGAAATCCTTTGGGCATAGTTTTTGCTATTATTCCTGTAATGGTTGGGCTGATTCGAGAGGGTCTTGTACGTACCACCAGAAACGGGCACAGCGGTTATCAAACCCAATGTCACAAACATGTTGTAGGTAACGGCGGCACTGAACTGCATGAGCACGTGGAAAACTGCAATAATAATTAATTACAACGATAAAAATAGAAATGCTCTGTACGCCATCGGGAGGGGGACTGCATATGCCTACCCAGGAGCAGGACGCTTGCTACAAGCAGCATGTTCCATGGTATGCTTTCTGATGTCAGATTCTCGGCGCCTGTCAGGTACAGTGCCAGCACGACGGGCCACAGCAGCAAAGCATTGAGCAACCCCAGTGCGGTGAATGTAAATGCGATTTGTGCCACCGGCGGATCGCCCATCACCTTGCGGAACATAACCTAGAAGGGGGGGAGCATAGGACGGTGTGAGCACGATATGCCCAAGACACGAAAAGGCTTGACTAAACGGTAAGGGCTTACCCTAAACACGGCATAGCCGGCTGCAGCTAACGTGGCCAACACGACCCCACCTAACGTTCGACTCTCCGTAATGCCGTCCATGTAGGCGAGCAGCGCAATGCCCGTGTCGCACAGGATAACCGCCACAATCTAAGGCAGACATGGTTCACGTTGTTACTTTACCTAGAAAACGAGGAAAACGAGGAGCTGGCTGTAATACATACCCTAACGCCAACGAACTGCTCGTGCAGTATGACCCAAGAGAGTAGATAGACACAGGCAACGTTTGTTGCAAACAGCGCCAGCGCGTCCGTGGCAAAGAGCACGTGCAGCGACAGGGTGTACAGGTAGGTGGTCACCAGCCACAGGATGCAAAAGGATAGACAGCGATTGAGGAAACGGCCTGTAAGACAGCCGAATATGGCATTACAAACCGGATTGACCCACTTAAGCAGCCGCTTACCAATGGTGAAGCCTCGCTCGCGAAATCCTCGTATCACATCGGCGAGTATCTCGCTCAGTTTGTCGCATTTGCGAGCCGAGATGAGCCCTAGTATATAGATGGGGAAGAAGAGTAGGGAGGAATTGGTAAAGAACCAGGCCGCAAAGAACGGCGCATTAAAGTAGACGGGCTGGCGCGGTGGTATGTTGAACATCTCGGTGGCGTCCTCGACATGGTGCAGCGATGAGTCGCTTATGGCCAGTATGTCCTCCAGTTCGGTGCTGAGCTCAGCGCGACTCGATGAGGTATCCAGATCGTCGTCCAGCTCATCGTCATATGGAGCGCGATACAAATACATGTACTTGATGCAGTGCGTGGCGCCCACCCACGAAGCAGTCACTAGAATCGTGACGCACACTCCAAAGTACATCTGTAGCATAAAGATTAATTTCTTATCAGTGAAAGTCACATTACAGCGTGCATCGTATATTCACTCACCTTCTTGGCCAGCTCGGAGCAGCAGGATTCTCTGCAGGCCTTGAGCTTGCGAAAGCGCACCTCCGCATCCTCGCCCGGCTGCCCATTGGCCTGATGGTCTATTGCCAGTTGTCCAGTCTGTGTATCGCTGGAGTCGCCTCCAAAATTATGCTGTGACCCGTGCGGGTTAGTGGGTGTGTCCGCCTGTATGGTAATGACCTCGTTCGGATCTTGTTGGCTCGATGATATTGAATCTTGGTGGGTTATTTGCGGATTGCTGGAGTTGAGCACATTGCTGAAGCCACAGCTGGAGACGGCGCCGATGCCGCTGCTGCTGGCACCGCCTCCCACGCCGCCGCTATTATTGTTATTGTACGGTCCATTCGACGAGGAGTCGCCGGTGACCACCACGGAGGGAGTGCGCACGCGTTTCGGATTGAAGATGGCTGGAATTTCGCCGTCACGCGTCATGCTATCATTGCCAACCGCCGCTGAAGTTCATAGTGTCCCGATCCTGTTGACCAACACGCAAGGTAAACAATATGTAAGCAAAGCAAAAGCATTGGCATATTTTAATTTATTATTTTTCCAGTTTTTAGCTCTCTATCAGTTTAATAAAACCTCAAAGAATTTTAAGATTTTCTGGGAAATACTTTCCAATTGCTATTATAAAAGAAAGGTAAAGCTCACGTGCTGGACCCGATTAGTGGCGGGCCTCAGGCATGGCGAGCGGGCGCGGGTGTCGACTTCAGCTCTACTTGATGGCCGTCTTGCAGGCAATACTGAAGGCTTGTTACACGTAAAGGGCAAACCCGCACCCAATCACGCAACATCAAGCTCGAGCAATTTGCATACGCGCTTCGGCCAGCTGCCAGTTGGCCAAAAACCCAAGGCAAGCCAAGGCAGCCATGTTACAGTGCTAAACGGCTAACTGACCTCCTGCAGCGATAACATTGTTTTCTAATGCACAATGGTCATATATGTCTCACTCACTCTCTCAACCTCTCTCTCTCTCTCTCTCTCTCTCTCTCTCTCTCTCTCTCTCTCTATCTGTGTGTGTGAGTGAGTGGGGGTACGGGTACGTCATAACAATGGGAATTATGAGTGGCTCAATGTTCAGGTCAAGTTGAGCCAAAGTCAACGTCGTCTGGTTGGACAATAAACATTCATATTGTAGCCGCCTGCCACAGCAAGTGGGGCAATTTGTTCAGCTTTTAGTGTTGCATTAAATATGGCTGCCCCCGCTCAGAGGCCGCAGCAAAGTCCTTGCGTCCTTCAAGTTATCATTTATATACATATATATATATTGTACATACATCCCATTGGGAGGCCTACTGCTTGTCTGCGATAATGACATTCTAATTGAAACATAAAATATTTAGACCATATTCAGTGGCCCATTGGCAAATAGCATTACTTTACTTTATAGAGAGCCATCGATGAATTAATAGCTTTATAATAACCTGAAGTCGGCTGCTTGAATAATTGCACGGATATTTGCCGAGCCTTCGACAATCTCAAGTTCTTCAAGTTATTGGATTTTTATCGGTATATTGATTTTTAGAAGTTTGACAGTTCTTTGGCATAGTTGTTAATAAATAAGCAAAGTACACATACATGCATATACATAAATACATATGTATGTATATGTCAGTAGAAAGGTGTAGTTTGAAAGTATATTGAAATGAATGGGACAATCGTTTGCTGATTTATTTATAGGCAGCTCTAAGGTCTCAGTCAGATATCTAAACTTAAAGCGTGCTCAGAGAGAAATTGCTTCAACTGTTCTCTGAGTATATGAGCTTCAATGCATTAAGTGATTGGAATTTGATTGAGCTGCTTTCAGTTTGCATTGCACACTCAGCTTGAATGCGATAAGACGCACTGGAAATATGAATGCGCCGGGGAAACTTATTTCATTCATAGTGTGGACAATTGTGAATGGTAATTGTTGGTTGTTAAGGCAATTATGAATATTAAATGCTCATTGTGAACAAATGCTTTGGATCAGTAGGTGCAGTTAGTGCCGAAGCGAATTGCGGCAGGCTGGAGGAGCGCTTGCTATTCACAAAAAATCCATCGACGGAGCCCACCGAGTATCCGTGGATAGGGTTACTCGTTCAACGTGAAGGTAAGCTTTGGAGCATTCGCTTTAAAAGAGCCTCATTCTATCTATATTCAGATTTGAATCAGAAATTCGAGAGCGCCGAGTGCAATGTTGCTATCGTCGGCGAATCTGATGTCCTCACAACTGCATCTTGTGTGCGGAGGCTCAATAATCGGCCAGAGCTGGTAGCCGTACGTCTGGGCATTTGGGATGAGAAGGACGAGCCCGGCCAGCAGTATATCTGCAATGATAGAGGATTTTGTGTGCCCGGACCCGTGCAATACCTAGTTGATGCGATTACGATGCATCCGCTGGCGGACAAGGACACCGGCACCAACGATATTGCAATTTTACGGCTATCGCAGCGCATCAATATGACTGCGTACATTCAACCGGTGTGCTTGCTGCCAACCTTGGAGCCCGCTTCGTGGACCTCTGTGGACTTCCATTACGGTGGCTTTCACCAGTCTGATATCAAAAAGGGCAAAGGTAGTGCCATTGCCATCTCAAGGCAATATTGCAAATATGAAACGGGGACACCGCCACCAGAGAATCAATTTTGTGGGTATCCGCCGTTTCGAGACGCCTTCTTCAAGGGCGCTGCCATGATGGGAATTAACGTTGAGGACGATGTGCCGCGCAGCTTTTACTTGGTCGGCCTACTGGTTAGGTATGTGGACGTGGGATCGTTTATGATCGTTTTCCAAGATATCAAACCTGTACGCCACTGGATTATAGACAATATAAAATCAACAAGCTCATAGTACAATTAAAATCATGTTTACATAATTTGTGGAATTTATTTTCTCAGAATATTCCATCACACGATTGCTGTAATTAGAAATCCCATTCGCATGGCAAACGGGTTTTCTTTTTACTGGTTTGATTATATTTAATTGAAATAAATTAGATGCGCCTAAAGTTTGTGGTTTATTTCTTGGTAAATAAAATACAAATTTAATATTTTGATAGATTTTGATAGCATATGTACTAAGTTTAAAAAAAAAGATATATTTTTGAAATTTAAAAGTTCTTAACTAACATAAAAAAACATTTTCCAATGCTAAACTAATCGAGCAGCCCTCTTATTAATTTACAATATTGTAATGGCTTTGCCATTGCCAGTGCCATATAAATATGCGATTGCAGCTCAGTTAATCTCAAGTCGTCAGTCGAAATGCAGCTAGAATACGGTTTGATTAGTCTGTTGTTGGCCATCGCAGTTGTACATTCAGTAAGCTTGCAGGATTCCAAATGCGGCTACATCAGCGAGGAACAGTTGTTAAGAATTGATGCCTTTGCGATACCCACGGAACATCAGTGGTTGGCCGGAATTACGTACAGGAATGGTAAGTGCTTCAGTCTGAGGAATGTCCGGCACTAGCTAGCAGGTCAAAACTCTAATCGTCAGGCCAAGAGATGAAGCTGCAAAATAATGGCTGTGTTGGTGTCCTCATATCCAAGCGAAATGTGCTGGCACCCGCTCACTGTTTCCTGCAGTACGATGGGCAAGTCGAGGTCGTCTCTGTGCTGTTGGGCGTATGGAATAAGAGCTCCACTCTGGATGACGTCAGCTGCGATAGGAATGGCTTTTGTGTGCTGCCCGCTCAGGACATACCGGTGAAGGCGATCGCCATATATCCCGAATACGATCCACTGACTCTGAAGCATGACCTCGCGGTGCTCACACTACAGCGCGATGCCCAGTTGACTCCGAATGTAATGCCCATTTGCATGCCGCCACCCTCGAAGGTCAATGAGACGCTGGTGGGACAGCTGTTCGTTGTGGCCGGCCTGCCCATCAAAGATGAACTCAAGCACAAGTCCTATGTGCACATACGTAGTCGACCCTATTGCCAGGAGGAGCATAGCTCCCTCCTCAGCAGCATCAACACCGTCTGCGGCCATCAGGATCCAAGCAAGATGTACCATCTGGGCGCTCCGCTGGTGGGCATACATGTGGAGATGGATGCGCCGCAAAGCTTTTACTTGGTTGGCCTGCTGCTCGACGCGAAGGAAAACTTTGACGGAGAGCAACAAATAGTTGACAGTTTTTTGGATGTGCGCCCCTATCTAAATTTCATTAATCGTAATGCCGACTTCCTAATTGTAAGTGACTGAACTGTGCGAAAAATAAAGCGGGCAAAGGCTGCCAACAGGTCGGCCGTGTTAATTATTCAGCTACCTCACGCTGCTGGCGCCCTTACAACCTCGAATTTACTTGGCTTCATGCTCATGCAATATGCAAATTTTTTATATACTATTAATAGCTAATGTGAGAAACATGGAGATTGCAGTGGAAGTTTTCGGCTTTTCCTTTCGTATGTTTTCGAAAAACTGAAAAGCCAACAATGACGGCTACTTTGACAGCAGCTGGCAGACAGGCCACAGGCGAAAGGCGGCAGGTGACATCGCCAGCAGAATTTTTGTCACTTTGGCGGTAAACGGGAAGCGGAAGTACAATAAACAATGTCTGCAACCCGTTGGCCACTTGCCAAGGCATTTGCAAGGCAGGCAAAATTTGTTTCTCAACTTGAATTTTAATGCCCACAATATCAGGTGATAATTAAAAGCAAACAGCTAAGCGGCGCACTCTGTCGTATAGTCGACGTATAGACTGGCAGCTACTTACATATATCACAGAGTATGCCTATGCTGGGATTTATGTATATTGGCCATGTCTGCGTGACGTGCCTTATGACGTGTTTGTGGCTTGGAATTTTATTCGTGAAATATGCGTGTCGAGGCTTGACATAATATTATTTAAGATCTGGGGCATGGCCCAGATTATATACGAAAATTAAGTTATGCCTCTAAGCATTGAGTGTCATAAAAAATTAGGTTAGATTTCTTTAAATTTTCACCTTCGACTCTAGAGAGAGAGAGCACCCAAACGTTATTTGCATAATATTTTACTCTTTTCGATATCAGAAATCTCCCACACAATTAGTTCTATCCATTCATCTAGATAACCATCAGTATAATAGTCCATTAAGCTTTTAGTCTCAAACAGCAACGCTAATTAGCAAACATATTCGGGGAGCAGATATTTAGGCGCCAAATCGCTCCATGTAAAGCAGAAGATGTCAGCACGTTCTATTTCTTGACGTGGCTTTTGTTTGTTTTCCTTAGCGCTGCATTAGAATCGCAATAAAATTTAAATTGCCAAACAAAAACGGGGCAGAACGTGCACAAATGTGCAGACTGATGGAACTGGCGTCTAGATAAACAGCAGGAGGGCGAGACAGTGGGTGGCGTTGGTTGTTTACGGCAAATGTGCAAAAACGCGATTCAAAACAAAACAAAACAAAAACCGAACAGCTGAACGAAAACTGCGAAAGAGAGTAGAAAAACGTGAGCTTGCGCTCTCGGGGCACGCGTGGGCGCTGGGTGTTGGGTGTTGGGTGCTGGGCGCGAGCTTACAGCAACAACAATGCTCGAGGACAACACGCGGCATATACGCAATGTGACAGTTTTAGTGGTTATGGTCAAGCACAACGCTTGAGCGAGGGCACGAGCGAGCACACAGCGCCAATGGAACCGAAAGCGAAAGTGACGCCAAAAATTGTTACTCTGAGACACACCTGAACTAGGCGCAACAACAGTAACAACAGCGGGTGGCAGTGGGTGGCTGAGAGGCGACCACAGAACGCGCACTTCAAAAATTCGCCATGAAACGCCCGCCAAGATGTTTCAATTTCAGCCGAGAGGATAGTTGGGTTGGGTTGCTTACATTGTCCTTGCTAGAGTGCTGTATCTATCCTTTTGATATTCGGACGTTTTGTATATATTTATTTTTTTTTTTTTCGGCAGGCAACCGGTCGCCTTAGCCAGTCTCGGCTATACTTACACTTAGTCAGCCACTTTATTGGGGCATCTGCATACATATGTGTTAGCTGAGGGAATTTAAATTTTTCTACGTACCTGGATGTGGCAGAGCGTTGGGGCTTATGGGGGGGAGGGGGCAGTCTTCAGAGTAATTAATTGTTCCAGTGACAACTGAGGTTTTTGCTAGTGCCGTCAGTGCGCCCTGATGCGTTAAATGTATTTATATAATTTACTTAAGCACTTAATGGTATTTGTGCGAGGCATGCCACATACTTTACGCAATTCGTGTCATTCTTTTTTCACTCTCTCGCACGGTTCCTTATCGAAAATAGGGAATGCCCTGCTGCTTGCTCAGCCCTTTCCCTAATTCAATTACATATATGCAGCAAATTTTTTGTTGCTCCACATAATTTGGAGCAATTCAAAACTGAACACTGAACGGATACACAAAACGAACACACACTTAGATACACACAGGCACAGATGCGCACCCACACAAACACACACACACACACACACACACACACACACACGCATACACACACTTATACTGGGACACGAGCTGTGGACTGTTTAGTCGAACGCAACTGCCACTTAAACTTGCCTTTTCACTAGTTTTCCTAGACTGAGGAAAAACTATTGTAGTTTGTTTGTGGCTGCTGGCGATTTTCCAGTTTTCTTTTTAGCGCGTGTCGCGACTTTTTAGCGCTCGGGTAGGTTTCTGGCCAGGAATCTAAACGTCGACTGAAACAATTCCTGAGCATGCCTTCAAGTTGGCTCTATGGCAGCCAAAGCTCGATTTTAGTCTCCCAAAAGCACTCTCTCAAGCACCCATGAAAGCTTTCTCTCTTTATTCTTTCTCTCTCTCTTTGGCCAGTTGTTGACACTTGTTAGAGATTTCCTTGTGTTTTGTTTGTTTTGGCTTTGGTTCAGCAGTTGTTTTGAATCCCATATGGCGGGCTGTGTGTCCATTGACTATCCGAAGGTCTTGATTAATTCTTTGGTAGCATCGATAATATGTATGTATATATTATATTAGCAATGGCCGTCTTATTTTGGTTTTACTGTTCCGCTCCAAAGATAGCTTACAAGATCTCCAAAAATATTTGATAATTCCAAGTTAATGTAATTCATATTAGGGATTAGTCGTTGTCATAAATGTAATAATACAAGCATATACAAATATCCATTTTATGACTTACATATAGCACTTAAGTGGTAACCTTTTTAATTTCAAATCACTTTTGATTTACATTCAAAAATACCTTAACCACTTTCATATAAACTGGTTTCAGAACTTTTCAAATCTGATCTTTACGTTAAACAAATGGTAAAGATGTATGACGATTACCATATGAATGTCTTCGTTGATTGGAAACTATCAATTGTGAGCTGCGCCCATAGCAAGACTTTCAACAGCTGCGATAATAACCCCATTCTTGGCTTAGATGACATTAATATTAATAACATTTTCTATATATGGTTGTTGCCAAATTGATGCAAAAACTTTCACTGACCCATCAGTCAGCCAAGATCGTAGTGTTGTTAAAAACCTAATGGAAATTGTATTGACAACATAAGATCCATATGAATTCAGTTTTAGTTGCTTCTAAGCCAGCGAAGAAAACAGTTGCGAGTTTCAAATTTCGGGCAACAGAATGCAATTCCAGCTACGGGCAACATTTCTGCTGCTGGCGTGGATTGCTGCTGCAAGCCAGATTCAAGCAGCCAGGACAACTGACTTGCAGGTACTCCAGTATTGGGAGCCGCAGATACAGAGTCCAGAATACTCCGGGTAAGTCAAATTATATATAAAATTTAAAATGCTCTCATCAGTAGAAATTAAGGTCGCAATTATGGGATTTCGTTTATATTATTCTTAATATGTTTATATATAAACTTTTTTTTGTTTACCAACAGTCAGATTGCTTATCCCAAACGCGAATTTGTACAGAGCAGATTTCCCAGTGACGGACTCAAGCGGCATCACCGCTTATCGGATCAACCAAAGGAAGCCTCTACCAGCACAACAGAGCGGCCTTTCTTTCGGGTCTGGAATAGCTTCTTACGAAGCGTTCAGCCAAATTTCGGCTTCCGCAATTTGACCAATCCACTGGCCAACTTGTTCAACAATGGCGCGGCCAACATAATTGAAACGGCGCCCGTGCAAGCTGAGATTTACACTGATGATCAACAGGCAGGTGAGGTGCAGCAATCGTCTACAGCTGCGGCGCAGAGTTCCAAAAAGCGTAAGCGTAAGCGACGTAAGCAACAAAAGCGTCGACCGATGTATAGCTCACAGGAGCAAGACGAGCATCCGTATGACTACTACAGAACCACATTGCACCAGCCTATGTACTACTATGGCCCTAATGACTACTATGGCATGCGTCGCTTGCAAACGTTGTCGGACCTTGCTGCTCAGCCCAATTACTATGATCAGTTCTACAAAGATAGTTCAGTGGAAGGCGATCTGCCGCAGTATACGATTGAGGAGAACGAGAACTTTGGCACACCTAGTACCAAACGCTTTGCCATAGTCCGACCTATCAGTTTGGCGATTCAGCTGCCAAATGGCGATTCTTCAGGTTCAAGCACACTCGATGAAATGCCTGACGATAGCGTGACGAATGAAAACGTCGATGAAAGTTCTGCAAGCGTCGGCACTGATACCGAAGGCAATGTTGATCACGAATCAAGCACTGCATCGAGTGACGATCAAATGCCACTCTCTGAGAGCGTGCGCAATGCATTCGGCACGTATATGCGCGACGATCGTGAGAGTCGTAAGCGCCAGCGCCAATCCGAGCAACAGAAAGAAATGGGAGTGCCAGCTAAATGGAAACCACGCCAAAATCTACGTTACGTATTAGCTGCACGCCTGGTATAGAACCACTAATAAAGTATGTGTTATTATGTAAATGATAAATATATTATTATGATGGTGTATGTTAGTCTGACTGTAGTGTATGTCATGTCGATATGAAATGAAGATGCCACCTGCAAGTGGGTAAAAAAAGAAAATAGTTGTACATAGAGTAAAATGTTCTATAATTGTGCTAGATTTATCAAAATTGAGGTAGATGTGTGAACTTACTTTACAATCACAAAAAACGTGATAGCTATTATGTTGACAGTAAACTATGAGTCAAATGAGCTTCGTAATCCGCGAAGCATTGCCAGCATTGGGGTCCACAGGCAACGCCACATTCTGAACATGCTGCACATTCTGGAAGTATGGATGTTGCAGTGCATCCTTTGCAGATATGCGTTGATTCGGATCGTAGCACAGCATTGACTGTTAACAGACGTTCTCGTTAATGTCTGCAGTGTAAGTTTTAGATTTAATTTGATTTACCATAATGAGATCATGAGCTTCGTGTTCACGTAACGCTGCCGGTATATTGGGTTCTTCCCATTTTGGAAACTTAGGCTTAAAGTCTGGCAGCTGTGTAACACCTGGCCATTTACTTTCGTCCGGTGTACTTAGTGTGCGAAAGATGCGATACAACTGATCGATTTCGCTGTCACCTGGAAACAGCGAATGTCGCATGATCTGTAAAGCCAATGCTCGTCAATAAAGAACCAAGAAACGAATCAATCTGACCTACCATCTCAGCAAATATGCACCCAAGACTCCAAATGTCCACGCCCGTGGAATAGAACTTGGTACCCAACAGTATTTCAGGCGCCCTATACCAAAGTGTAACTACCTCATGTGTGTAAGCTCGCATGGGTACATTGAACGCTCGCGCCAAGCCGAAGTCTGCCAGCTATAATCAGAAGATTAGTTGATACCTAGTGAGTATATGATGCTGGACTACCTTAATATTGCCTTCTGTATCAACGAGCAGATTTTGCGGTTTCAGGTCGCGGTGAAGTATGCGATTTGTGTGGCAAAAATCCAGCGCATCGAATATTTGATGCATGTAGCTCTGTAAAACGTATCACCATCGATATAATTATATAATTTTCAATAAATTAATCTTGCCATTGGTCTACCCACTTTTATGAGCTGTGGTGTAAAAACATCCTTCTTTTTATCCATGAGTTTTTTAAGATCCATGTTAAGGTACTCGAATATCATGTAGAGATTATTGCCTGATATAACCACATCAAAAAGCTGTACAACATTTTTGTGTTTAAGGTTTTTTAATAAAGATATTTCCCGTATAGCAGTCGAGGGAACGCCTTCTGATTCTCTAAGAAAACATAAGTGAATACAACTAATAAATAGCGGTTCATAATAATATAGACTTGGCAGGTAGTAATCTATAAAGCTGATGCTTAATTTGGTGAATGAGCGTGCACTACCAAGCCGAATCATGTGGTGCTACGTACTCAAAACAGCGCGGCACTCACAAAACTCGGGCTTCGTAGTTCAGCTACCAAGCCAGCCAAGCCGTTTGACATTCGTCAAGGACATCAAGGATAAGACGCAACTGCCAGTAGGAACAATTCCTCAACTTGTTGTTTGCCATTGAAGTATAGATGGATGAAGTATAACGCCAAGATGCATACCTTGGCGCTGACACTACTTGGATGGACACATTCTAGAGTTGCAGCCACAACAAAAACGTCCTTTTGCTGCTCACTACGTACCCTTCGAGACGGATTTTCTTAAGTGCAACAACCTGGCCGGTTCGATTGTTGCACGCCTTGTACACAATGCCATATGTGCCTTCGCCGATTTTCTCGGCTCGTGGAAAATTGATTAATTCCGTTTGCATCGCCAAGGATAAATATATACATATATGAGTTAAATTTGGAGGGAAAATAGCAATGTTGTGAATATAGTGGTGTAACAAGCCATCTTATTATCCATGGTTTCTTTCGATGTATCGCTTGAGAACGATACAAATATCGAAACCTGTATTACCGATTACTATCGAATATTTTTTTTATAATCGGACGTATATACCAATTATTTAAAAACAAAATATTGCAAAAAAAAAGAATGAGCTTTTATTATTTACTTAATTTTATTTGAAATATTTGCTTTGAATTGATATGAAGATGTCTCAAGTTCTTAAGGCGCTGGCTGAAATATGTGTATACATACATACATTCATAGTGTTGTTTGCTCAGTGTATGTACATATGTATGTATGTATGTATGTATGTATGTATGTATGTATGTATGTATG